GGCTCAGCTTGCTTTGGTGTCACTGAAGGGTGAACAGGAGATTCATTTTCATCTTGTCATTTTTGGTAGTAATCTAAATATCCTCCATGCAACTTTGAAACATACTGCCGTAAAATAATTATTTGCCATGGAGTGGGATTGGCCATAATCTGAACACGATGCATTGGCTCTGACTTAGCTGTCAAATCCTTGTTACTGTTAGGGAAGGAGGATACAACAGGCATACAAACAGTAGGAGGCCAGAAGGGTGCAGAAAAAACTTCGACACAGCTTCACACGAAAGGCACAATGGTGGGATTTCCCTCTTTCCATCCAGAGAGAGGCTAAAGGAAAGAGTACTTGGAAATCCCACAGGCACAGCCCCTGCCCCTGCAGAAATTTGTTCTTGGTCTAACCCTATACATCACACAATTTTATTGTGATAAAGTGCAACCAGAGTGATGGCAATGGAAAGGGAAAAAAGCCTGTAAGTATTATGTGTAAGTGCATATAACACTTAGCCTGTAAAGCAGTGAGTGTGGTTGCTGACCTTTGGGTTAACTCATTAACTGCATTAAGAAAGTGTAGTAAATGACTTTTCCAGTCAGTTTTGTTTTCTTCTGCCCATGGAATATTTACAAGCAGCTTAACGAAGACTTCAAAGTCACCTGCAGAAAGTACTCATAATCTCATTCTGCAAATTTCAGTCTGACTATGAAGTATCACATTCTTAGCTATTTTTTCCAGTCAGTGTTCAAAGTGTGTTGGTTAGCTGTGATTGAGCTGATAAATCAAGTTACATGATTTCTTTCTGTTGATCAAATAACAGCACTTAAGGGCATTTCCAAAATGCTGACGTTTACAATTTCTGCCACAATAAATTATTTCACATGCAAAGCTGAAACTGTAACTGAAGTACTTGAGACACCTGAACTTCAGAGAATATTTAGCAGGTTCAAAGATTTTGAAGTTAATGTCATTGTTCTGGAGTTATTCTACTGTGCAAACAAAGGCAGAATTTTTTTCTAACTATTATCATCAGTCACGTCAGGGAACGAGACCTCTTCACGCTGCTCAAAATCAAAACGCAGAGTGGAGAATAGGGAAGGGTCAAACTAGAAAGATCTGTGTTTGCTGAAATGAATATTACAGACGTCTTCTAAAAATTAAGTTCTTCATCAATTTGCCTGATAAATCAGATTTACAAGATCATCACAAAGTTGCCACATCAGTAATTTCATCTGTATCACTTCAAATACAAGTCTACTACAGTGGCATCAGCACAGAAAGAAATAGAAGGATCAGTTCTTACTTGTGCCCAAGTTCGTGTGCAATTGTAAATGCCAGATTGAGACCATTGTCTTCAGCAAGAACACATTTTCTCTTGGCACTGCAGACACCTCCCAGGTAAGCGATCCCTGCAACAGGAACAGAAAATATTTCCATTGGAATTGGTAAAACAGCTCATGTATTCAAATCAGGCAGCAATAACTCAGCCAAAACAATAAAAAATGCACCTAGCACGGAAAACATTAGAGCAGTTTCTCCTCAAATCATCTGAGAATCTTGATCATCATCTGACAGAGAAATAAGCCTAGATTTTCATCAGACAGGACAGAACTCAAGCTAAGCACGCTCACCCGCACTGCTTTCATCAGAAAATATATTTCACTGTCCACAGAGACTGAAGAATTCATCTAAGTTTATCTATTAATGCCCCCTCCTACGATATTAAAAGATGCACTGAAGTAGCCTTAACAAGCCTTGGAACGTGAGTTCTCCTGACTTCCAGTATCCTGTTGGGGCGAAGCAATAAAACAATAAAAGCTGAGACTCTCTGAAGAGATCTTGCATTTTCCCTTATTTCCATACTTAAAGAAAGCAAGAGTAGCAGAGAGAAAAACTGGCAAACTATAGATGGTGAGTCACAAAGGCAATGAAGGTGGCCCACGCAAGCCTTCTACGACTTAGTGGAATTTAGGATTTGATCCCACTGACACTCGCACAGTACTCTCTGATCCTGTTTGTGTGGACACCAGAAACAGCTGTAGGCTGAAGTCAAAAAGGAATTCAGAAGTTACAGCACGAAACTTCTGCTATGGAAAAACAATAATCCTCAGGTGCCTTTCCTGCATCCAGACTGCCCTCTGCA